TTCAGCCGTTTTTGAGAAAAAAAATCTGTTCACACACACACATACTTTTTCCAAATTTGGTCTCATTTGATTCAGAATGGCTTGAAACGCCGAGAAAACATAAAATTAGCGAATCGGATTTTTTTATGAAAACATAAACTTCTTCCGAAAGTTAATAATCATTTATATTTCAAGAACGAAAATAAATATGAAATAAATAAGTTGCTTTTTACAACTATAAGTAAATTAAAAAATGCCGCCCTAAAGTAAGTGCCGCCCGGGGCGGACCGACCCTACCGCCCCCCCTAGGTACGCCACTGCCTCCCTTTAGAGGTCCCTCATACAAAAGTTGCTTCATTTTGGATACTTCAACATGACCAAAAATTTTATTCTTATTATAAAATTTATTTAATCATAAGATATGTAAATAAAACTATGTAAAACTCATAAACTATTGTTTAAAGTTTTTTTTAGTTTCAAGTCTGGAAAATTTTGCACGGCTCTCTAATATCGTCGCCGTAACAGCCTCTAGCTAGCATAGAAGCGCAGAGACAAAATGCATTGGAAAAATTGAAACAAAGAAGAATTTTAATAATTTTTCTTGTAAAAAATTTTTTTTGTGTGTATGAATTATTTGAAAAAAAAAATTAAGAAACACATTTTTTGCTGAGTAAAATACCAAAAACGACGATTTTTTGCAATATTTGTATTGGAGACTTCTAAGGGAAGGTTCCAGGGGGTGAACCATAAGCTTGGGTGGATCGGTCTTACAAAGTTAGTTGGGGTTTGTTATACATTCGGACGCGATTGGAGCAAAATGGATTAAAACGGAATTTTTCAAAATTCAACCCAATCTGTGGGTCAATGCACGGGACATCAGAATTCATATAATATATATATATATATATATATATATATATATATATATATATATATATATATAGAGAGACTAGATGACCCGACAGACGTTGTCCTGTATCCACATCTACGTTTTTTTTAATATCCTATACTAATATTTATACCGTTCAGTTAAAAATAATCATTATTGGTTTTCGAATTACTATTTACCCAATATATGAGTGATGTTAAATGTAGAACTGCTTCAAATCAATTGATTATTCTCAATTCCCACAGTTAACACGTTCATTATCCATTTAACAAATATTAATAAATGTTCATTAAAATTGTATATTAAAAATTATACACTGCGATTTATAGAACAATTTTATTTCCAATAGCTCAATTTATTTTAATGCATTTAAGTGTTATCCAATGTTTTTAGTCATACCTGTAAATGTGGATGCATAATTGAATGATATTTGTACACGTGTTATAGATACACGTGTTGAGAAGTTAAATCTCATAAAAAGTATAACAAATTCAGAAAAAATTAATATATAGCATGCGCGGTAAAGGTACAATATCACCTTGGATTTTTCTACCCAAAATATTTGCTTCAATAATGTTGCCTATAATTTTTATAATTTTGTACCATATTTTAACTGGCTTTTAGTATTTTAATATCTAAATTACATTTTTCTCACTAATAATTCAATATACATTGTTGTATTGTGATTCAACCTACGATCAACAAAATTATTGCAGTAAATGGAGAGGAAAAAAGCGTATGCGCTGTGAATTTATTTACTGTGCTCCAATTTGCTTGATATTTTGGGAATATGCTAATCTTAATCTTAAGTTCAGAAGTGAAAACAATTTGCACTCCGTCAGCACCCTCCCCCCCGCATTAATTGGATTATAACTCTTTTAATTCTGATTTTATCAGAACTTGTAATATACTATTTTCAAGGTGATTAAATGAGCTACAACTTTCTCTATCATAAATTTCCCCGTAACTTCTCTTATTGTGAAGCGGCGAAGGGTTAAAGGGCTCTAAAGACCTCTGGTTGGACAGCCACGCACTCCTTAAACAATCATACCTCTGGCAATATTTGTGTAACAAAAAAATATTAAAAAGCAATAATTACTCAGAAAAATACCTTGAATTTTCATATTTATACTTTTATACATATTCTTTCAGAGATATAATAATGAGAAATTGGTTCTTTTCTTAAATGCATTTTTTTTATGAAATCATGAGTTTTTTTAAAATCGTTTGTAATAAAGTTGTGGTATTTTCTAGAATCCATCAAGATCTCTTAAACCAAGTAAATTCTAGATGTAAAACGATTATTTTTAATTTTGGTGAAAATTGCACTCACAAAACTATTTGATTTAAATGAAAAAAAAAAACATTGTATGCGTCTTTTATTTGCATGATAGATCACTCATTTTACACGCAGAAGTACTCATTTTAAAGCTTATTTTGAGCACTATAAAAATCTATATTCATATCTAGCTTAATATTGTTGTTAGAAAACTATAAAATAGCGATTTATTAAGATTTTAATTGATATAATTTTTTTCGTTAAAATGTATATATTTGAAGATTAGCAAAAAACGTTGAAAAACGCAAAAAAGAAACAAATTTTTAGTAGCCAGTAACTAGATAAGTAATTGCTTTTTTTGAAAAACATTATTAAACATTTTTCTCTTCTAAATAGTTCTTCTATCAATATCCGACGTTATTTTGAAAGAGATACAATTGCACCACTGAAAAGGGTCATTCCCCCGGAAAGTGGCAAAGGAGTCTAAATTAATTTCACTTCTAAACTTGATAGTAAGATGAACCTAATTCCAAAATTTCATGCAAATTGGAGCACATTAAAAATATTCCGACCCAAAACGCTCCATTGACTTGAGTAAATATTCCGTATCCAATGAGAAATATTTGAATTTTTGACACAATGAAACTTCTTAATAATTTTTTGAATAAGTAAATTATTTTTGTATTGTGATTTAGTAAAGTAAGGCAAAGCACGACTGCATTTAAAAGTTAAAAAATAATAATCTGTCAAATTGAATTGTAGCTAAGTTTGATGTGCGATCACTGACAGACGCATGCGCAGACTGCATCACCTGTTAGACGCATATTGACTGTAAATCTTATATTGTTCTAATTTTTGGCACATCTCATATGCTTTTCGGCAATCTGCAATGCAACATTTTCCTTATTTATAATCATGAATTTATTATATTTTAATATTGCCTTAGCCTATAAGTGAATAGAAATGTTTGGTAAATGACAGTCTTCATTTGTTTTTAATTTAATGTTTAATGTCAAACCATGCCTTAAATATTTTCAAGGTCAAACAATCATAAGCGGTTTTTGTAATTTTTTCCATTTATTTCTACAATCTAACTATATTTCTATGAATCTAAAAAGTCTAGAAAATTTCCCGAACAAACTTCAGGAAGATTCATGAAAATCCGAATTATAGTTTAGAAGGATTAATCATTCATACATAGTTACAGAATTATATATATATATATATAATAATATATATATATATATATAATATATATATATATATAAAAATATATATATATATATTAGGGTGGTCCTTAAATTGGTCATTTTCGAATTTCCTTGCTCCCAGGGGCTCAAATGGTTCCAAATAGATTAAAAACAATTCTCTGAAAGTTTTAGCTCTTAATATTAACGTTTAGATAGAGCGCAATTCGATCAAAGTTTGTATGGGAAGAGCATGGAAAAATTTTTGAAAATTTAAAAAAAATGTTTTGGGTATAACTTAGCGACAAATGAATGAGTTTTATTCATTCATTTGTTCGCTAAATAACATCTAAAAAACATTTTTTAAATTTTTGAAAAATTTTCCATGCTATTTCCATACAAAACTTTGATTGAATTGCGCTCTATCTAAACGATAATATTAAGAGCTAAAACTTTCAGAGAATTGTTTTTTATCTATTTGGAACCATTTGAGCCCCTGGGAGCAAGGAAATTCGAAAATGACCATTTTAAGGACCACCCTAATATATATACATATATATACAGTAAACCCTCGCTTTACGCGGCAAGTGCGTACCGTGCTGTATGGGAACCGTGCTATAAGAAACTCGTATTTAACATACAATTCAGGCTAATTCGTAGTGCGTTCTATGGAACCTTACATAGTGCAGTATGGGATCCGTGCTATGAGAGACTCAGAGTTGGTACAAATCGCACCATTTTTATCGCGCTGTATGGAGACCAAGAAATACCACTTGAAGTAGAACGAAATGACATGTAGGGCATTGACACGATTGACACCTTATTCAAAAATTGGCGCGACGCAGTAGTCAGCTCAAACGTGTTCTTAGGCGGCTATTATATAAACAGGCATGTCTAAAAGATAAAAGTCAATAACAAAATTTACATCAATACCCTTTTGCACAACGAACTTATGGGCTGTTGACCAAATACCGTGTAATAAGAAGTCCGTGTAGTCGGAGGGATGTCGGATTTTTAGCTCCGTGTAGTATGGGAACCGTGTATCCAGAGTGCCGTGTAAAGCGAGGGCCTACTGTATGTATATATATATATATATATATATATATATATATTAACAAAGTCTAATAATCGGGCATAACATCAATAAAAAACATGAATTTCTTTCAAAAATTTATTTTAAATCCATACGTTTCGGCTATAATCCTAGCCTTCATTCAGTGGAAAAATTAGTAGATCTTAGTGTTAAATTGGAAAATTTTAATAATCCATTGTATTAGGATATGGTAATGCACTACACTATGTATTATAAACATTAACTTGAAATTACACAATATTTTCACAAAATACTGATTTGAAAAAATCACAAATGGATAGTGTGTTATTCGTAGACTGGTTGAAGATGTTACATCTATATATATATATATATATATATATATATATATATATATATATATATATATATATATATATATATATATAGAGCGGGTCGATACTTTGCTGAAGAAACTGTACCTCTAAAACGAATTCTGATGTGCTGTACAATGACCCAAAAATAGGGGTTATATATATGTAATAATGTGTAAAAGTCTGAGTTTTGTGTTGTGCCTATTTAACATTTAAATATATATATATATATATATATATATAATGTAAGCCTTTTGCACAGGAATGAATTAGCCAGAGCGGAATCAAGAATAGATAAATTATGTTTTGAGAAACTTCGTCTTGAAGAGAAAATTTATAAGATGTCCAAAGATATTCATAGGTTAGCTTTTTTATTTTTACTACTGAGATATTTAATGCTATAATTCATATAAACAATTTTAACAATTTTAATATGAATATATTTTTGTACATGTAGATGGAAATTAGAATCTATGAAATATGCTGCTGAAATATCCAAATTAAAATTGCATATATCTGACTTAAAACTTGATCCGTCAGTATTATCTAAGCTTGAAGATAACATTTTTAATAACATGGAACTGAATAAAGATATGGTAGAAGATAACCAAAATTCACATTCAAAATCTAAGTGCAATGATGCTGAGGAAAATAAAAATGTTTTTGAATCAAACAAGTATGCTACTGACTTATCAAGTTTACTGGATGATTCAGAAAAGGGTAAGAAGGCCGACTCATTCGCAGAACATTTAAAAGATTTCTATTGTGACAAAAATTCATTTTCCAATGAAACAGAAAGTGCTTTGAACTTAGATATAGAAAAATGTGCAATAACTGAAAATAAGGTATGTTCTGCTGATACATCATTATCAGATGGTGTAAATGCTTCCAGTTCACAAGCTCCAAGTACATCAAGTAACCATTTTGAGATTTATGAAGATACAATAAGTTTAGGTGTTGAAAGTAAACATAGTCGATTTCCTAATCTTTCTGAAGGTCATAATAATCTAGATTCTAAAACTTGTTTATCAGATACTATTTCAAAAAAAAACATTTTGAAACCTGATGACACTGTTGCAATATATCAAGGAGCAAAATGTTATTTTGAAGAAGGTATTGCCAGTTCTAGCAATTTTAACATGTATGAAAATTCAGTTTTTGAAGAACCTAAAAATACTTTGATCTCATCTACGAGCATTAATTCTTCGAATGTCAATGGAGCAAACCCTTCAAATGCTTTTGAGATTTATGAAGATACTATATGTATAAGCACAGATGATAAAGCAAGTAAACCAATTAACGACAATAAAGCAATTATGACTATTAAGCCTTCATTAAGTTTTGAAATACATGAGGACACTATTTGCTTACAATCTAATAGCATCTTAACTTCTACTATCGTTAATCCTAAGAAATGTGTTTCTGATAAGACTGATGCTGTTATACTACCAAATATGGAATTTTCTAGTACTAGATATAATACATCCAAAACACCAGAAACATCAGTACATGAAAGAAGGAACAAGGAAAATATTATTCTAGATACTATAGATGACAACAGTGAAACAGAAATTATAACTAAACAAAGACCATCAATATTAAAAAAAATTGGAGGTTTACTACCTTTGGAAAATTTGGAAGATAATTTTATTAAAAAGGAAGTAAAATTTTGTAACAGTGTGAAGTCTCCTGTAAAATCAGATAATTTTAAGAAATCAAACATCATTAGGACTGAAGAAGTTAATAACAAGGTTAGATTTATTAAAGGCGATCCTAGTAAAGCATTAGTTGTAAAGAAATGGAAGCCTAAATGACAAGTATTTTTATAAATTTATATTTTATTTATAATATTTAAATATTTTAGTTTCTGTAAATCTTTCAAAGGATGTACTGGTACAATATATCTAAATATATTTATATTTTTATAAGTGAAGTACTTTTATAGCATTATTTGTTAAATAAACCTAAACTATAATGTGCATTACTAAATACTATGCTTATAAAATTCTTGTGTCATGATGTTTGTTGCAATACTTTTACGAAATGGTTTGACCAATTTTTATGAAATATTATAATCAAGTTCATGACTGAGAATCGGCCAACATCTGCCACAAATAGAATTTTATTTTTTATTTTTGATCAATTTCTTCTATTATATTTTGTTATAGTTTGTAATTAAATTCTAATGGTCATTTTAGTAATTAAATTCTTGCCAATAATAATCAAATCACTTTTTACTCTGCTTTCAGTCAGTCAAAAACAATGACTTAACATCAATTCAGATTTTTTGAGTTTATGGAAAAGCTTCAATTTTACTTCAAAGAATAATTTTTTTTTTCAAGAGTTGTCTAATTCTTACTCCTTTTAAATTTTGGGATCAATTTTGCTTATTTTAATTGTTTGTAATCAATTTTTATTTGTTTATATTTTCCAAAATTCCTACAAGCAATTAAATTCCATATACACACTTATTGAATCATTTATAGTTGATCGGTCCGGTCCTTTCTTTTCTCATCAAAGTTTTAACTTCTCGATGTAGAAGTCAGAAAATCATTATTTTTTCACCACAATCGGCCGAGTCGTTTCCCTGAATTTAGCAGAAAAGTGCAGAAATATTGAAGCTCTGTTCATTTTTTGTAACTTTGTTAAGGTGAAACTTATGCAAAAAATGCTTTAAAAATTGTTCAATTGTTTTTTATTTTATTTTCAGTATTAAATAAAACCATGGCGAATTAACATAATATACTTATTAATTGTTATTTCGTGATAATTTAATCATTTCTTTACACGTATATATATATATATATATATATATATATATATATATATATATATGATTTAGTAGTTAATTTTGATGTTGAAATATATGAGTGAGTTCTTGAGGGCGATACATCAAACAAAGAAATTTCTTTGTTTGATGTATCGCCCTCAAGAACTCACTCATATATATATATATATATATATATATATATATATATATATATATATATATATATATATATATATATATATATATATATATATATATATATATTGAAATCCTAAACTAAAATATCTGACAATTTGGTATTCTTATGTTCATTGTACATTTTTGATCACCAATTGGAATTTCCGTCACGGGTAATTTATAGTAATTTGAAAAACGAAACGTAAATGAAATTGTTTACATATATTTACGTTTCAGAACCTTCTGCACGTTTTGGCGTCTATGTGCTGATTAGTTTTTGGTAAAGACAGGTTCACCCATTTCGGAATTGAGGAAAAAGTAAAAAAAAATAGCTTTTCAATTTTTTAGAGAGCGTCGTTCTCTGTCCGATTGAAAAATTAAAAACGGAATGAAGAATAGGCTAAATTTTTGCCACGGCGGGATCAAAGTGCCATTTGGTGGTCAAAAATGGTCAATAGACATTTGCACATCAAATTATCAGATTATTAACTTTCTGTAGGGTAAATTATAGTAATCGCAAAAAATCAAATTTTTGTATATCTTCACGTTTCAAATGTTTCTGAACATCCTGGCATACCTTAGAAAAAAAGGATATAGATGTGTATGTATGTATGTTTGGATACAATTTTTCGTTCACGATTTCGGGCGCACGGATCAACCGATTTTAATGATTCAAAAAACATTCGATTCCTACTGACAGGAAGATATCCTGATTAGTTCTTGCAAAGGCAGGTCCAGCCATTTCGGGGCAAAAGGTGCCAAAAATGGAAATTCGGTTTTTGAGAGAATCGAGCGTTCGATTCAAACGATTCAAAAAACATTTCATTTATATTGACGACATGAAGAATTAATCGATTTTTGGAAAGGCAGTTTCAGTGGTTTTAAACATTCAGAAAAAAAGTTATAAAATATGCCATTTGGTGGCGAAAAATGATCATTGGACAAACGCACATCAAATTATCAGATACTTTATAGCAATTTCAATTACAAGTACAAATTTTGTTAACCTTGCTTTGCAAAAAAGTCTAAATTAAAAAAAAACAACAAAGTTATCGACTTAAGTTTGTGGGCTAAAAAGTTGACAAAAATGTTTTCACTCTTCTGCTAATTACAAAGAAACGGTTCAGCCGATCGTCGCACAAAAATGAAAAACGGTAGTCTTTATAGATCTGAAGCGATTGGCTTTAAAACTTTTAAAATCGGTCCAGCCGTCGACGAAAGGTCAAAAATCGACTCACACACGCACATAACTTTTCCAAATTTGATTTCATTCGATTCAGAATGGCTTGAAACGTCGAGAAAACATAAAATTAGCAAATCAGATTTTTAAGCAAAAACAAACCGCTTCTTCGGGAAGTTAATAATAAGTCAGTCATTATTAGATTCGTATCTTAAAACGGCTGAACCAGTTTTAGCCAAAAACTAATCAGATCGTCTTCGTATCAATGGAGATCAAACATGCATACACACATATATTACACACTTACATTTCATGTATATGCCAAAATGTTCAGAACGCATTGAAAAGTGAAGATGAAAAAAACATTTTCGATTTTTTTGCGATTACTATAACTTACCCTACGGAAAGTTAAAAATTATATCTAAATAATTGGAGAGCATTTCCATAAATATCTTCTTTGTTTAAGTTTATGGTTGTGTTTACAACGCTTGTATTAATAATTCCAGTTATTTTAGTTTGATAATTAAGTGCATTTAATTAAAATTCAATACTTTGTAATTCAACGCTGATTTTATTAGACATGACACACTTTATCTAACTGGGAGAGCTAATTTGCTCCATACTGCGGCCTCAAACGTTAACTTAAATTTCTCGAAGTAAACTATTTATTTATTGAATAGTAACAAGGACATTTTCATGATTGATATAGTATATAAACCCTTTAAAGATTTTACTATTGGTTCTCTGATTCCATCCTACGGTCCTGTGTCCTATTTTTAACTTCCCGTAGGGCAAGTTAAAGTAATCGCAAAAAAAACGAAAATGAAAATTTTTATATATCTTCACGTTTCAGAGGTTTCTGAACATTTTGGCATACCTTAAAAAAAATGGATGTATGTGTGTGTGTGTGTGTGTGTGTTTTTTTTTTTTTTTTTTTTTTTTTTTTTTTTTTATAGAGGTGCGAAAAAAAATCTTCATAAGACACCGCCATCGTTGATACTCCGCTGTCCATCCTACAGCAGACAAAGATGGACGGCCGTGTGGAGATTTTTACCCACTAAAAAAAACACTCCTCTCCCCTCTCCCCGCAGATGGTACGGGGAGGACTGGATTGGAACCGCGTTAGCATTACATCAATCCAGTCCGTGCTGCGCCTTGCGACGCCTGTTTACGACTACTGGTCCCTTTCTCCGGTTTTAGCCTTCAAAAGATGCTGTGCATAAGCTGCTACAGCTGACCAGTTTTCTTCTTGTTTCATCATGTAGGTCACAAGACTTGAGGGGGTAAGCCTGGTGCCTATAATGTGCTCGGCGTTGTTTTGATAATCCTTCCACCTAGGACATTCAAAGAACGTGTGCTCAGCGTCGTCTATTTTATATGGACAGTATTTGCACATTGGCGTGCTATGCAATCCCATCTTAAAAAGATAGGCATTGAACTGTCCATGTCCTGTCAGTAGCTGGGTTAGAAAGAAATCTGTGTCCCCGTATTGTCGAGAGAGCCAGACGCTAATGTCCGGAATCAGACGCGCCGTCCATCTGCCCGTCTCTCCTGACGTCCACCGATTTTGCCACTCTTGTATCGTTTCATTTTTAATTCTCGACCTTGTTTCTCTGGAATCGTCACCACCTAATTTAGCGTCGTAGAGTTTCACTCTCTCGAAAGCTAGCAAGTCAATCGGTGTGGCTCCTGCTATTACCAGCACGGCTGCTTCTGAGACTGTGCGATAGGCACAGGTAACTCTCAGAGCTCCTCTTCTTTGCACTGCCGCTATTTTGCGCCGATAAGTCTTTTGCTTGAGGATATCCGCCCATATCTCTGTTCCGTAAAGCAGTACAGAATGGACTGCCTCAAGCAGGACTCGTCGTTTTCGGGTTTGTGGTCCCATGCAGTTAGCCATAATCCTTGACAAGTTGGATACCGTCTTGCTAGCTTTTATGCATGCACTATCGAGATGCTCACGGAAGGATAGCTTCTCATCTATCATTACTCCCAGGTAGCGCAAGGCCCTTGTCGACGTCAAAGTTGTCTCTCCTATGTCTACGGTAAATGGTTTTGGAAACCATTTTTGTCGGGTCAAGACAACCATCTCCGTTTTTTGTTTGGCGAGTTTTAGGTGGTGTTTCTCAAGCCAGGTCTCTATGGTGTCGACGGTCTCTCGAACGAGTAGTTCAGCTTCCTCAATGTTGTCCACTACGATTGTGGCTGCGACGTCGTCCGCAAAGCCCGTGAGTTCCACCTGCTTCGGCAAGGGAATCTCCAGGAGCTCGTCGTAGACAGCGTTCCACAAATCGGCTCCTAAAATTGAGCCTTGAGGTACCCCAGCTGTAACCTCGTGTTCTTGATGACCTTCCGTCGTTTCCACTATCAACTTTCTCCCATCGAGGTAGTCGTCTATTAGTCCTAGATTTTCTGGCTTTACGTCAAAATTATGCTCTAGTGCGTGTAAAATATCCTCCCAATTCGCACTGTTAAACGCGTTTTTAACGTCGAATGTGAGAAGGAGACACACTTTACGAGCTTTAAGACTACCACGCCATGCTTCTCTTGCTGTTTCCGTTACCTTCCGAATCGCGCCGATCGTCGATCGTCCTTTTTGAAATCCGTGTTGGTTCTTAGCAAAACCTCCGGCGCATTCAATGTCGTTGCGCAGTCTGCATTGAATAAGTTTCTCAAGCAGTTTGCCG